GGCGACGATGGCGTGTCTTTCACCATAAGACAGTCCGGCGATGCTCCTCAGCTTACTTCGCTGTGGTACATCATGTTCGGAAAGGTGGATATTGAGGTTCAAGCCGCGCCAGGTGCGGGTATCGTCAGCAGTTTCGTACTGCAATCCGACACTCTGGACGAAATCGACTGGGAGTGGCTCGGAGCAGACCCCGATGAGGTTCAGAGCAACTACTTCGGCAAGGGACAAACCACAGACTACAACCGTGGTGCTTTCCACGACGACCCGGGCAGCCAGTCAGGCTTCAAGAAGTACACCATCGAATGGACCCCAGAACAGATCGTATGGCAGATTAATGACGTGACTGTCCGCACTCTCGAGCCTGCCAACGCCAACAACCAGTACCCCCAGACCCCCATGCAGATCAAGTTCGGTGCATGGAGCGGTGGTGACTCCGCCAACCCTGCAGGTACCATCTCTTGGGCCCGTGGACCTACCGACTACTCTCAAGGCCCCTTCAGCATGAAGGTCAAGTCTCTCATGGTTCAGGACTACTCCACCGGTACCCAATACGTCTATGGCGATCAATCTGGCACCTCGGGATCTATCAAGTCTGTTGGAGGTACCGTCTTCTCTGGCGGTAACGCTCCCATCGCAGACGCACCCGCCATCACTGCGACTGCCACCGGACAGCCTCTGCCCTTCACTCCTCACCAGACCTCCGACTACACACGTCCCAGCGTCTACCCCTGGATCCCCGACCCGTCGGCGACTCCCACTGCGCAGCCTACGTTTGCGAACTACCCCGGGCTCCCGAGCGGGTGGACCGTTTCGGATTCCGGAAAGGTTGTTCCACCCAGCTCAGCCACTGTCAGTAAGCCTTTTTCGAGCCCCTGTCTACTTTAGTGACGAAATGCTAACAATCACCTGTAGATGTTCCCTCAAGGTTCCTATACCTCATCGCCGCAAGCTTTGCCTACGGGTTCATCCGACAATGGGCCTAAGACAGTCACCGGATACGACGATCGCGGCTTCACCACTATCCGTACGATATACCCTGCCACAACACCAGCGCCGACTGCCAACGGGCTGGAGAACAATGCTGCTAAGGACGCCGTCCCTGCTGCGCCTGCACAAGGCGCGTCGTGGAAGCTCATGGTCTCCTCCATACTTCCATGGGCCATCGTCCTCATCCACATCCCCGGATGTGTCGGCCTCTAGGCGGGCTGGACCAACTTATGGGATACGATGGTCTTCGGTCCAGCGTTCTACACCGTAGCCGTTGGCATCGTCGCGATGAGTGCATGTGTTAGGAAATGTTTTACGAAAGGATATGTCGGTTTCAAAGTCTCGATCAAGTTATGGGCTGCACCTTGGCCTGCTGCAACTTGGAAGTTGAGCTACCAGAATAAAGGCTCCAAAGGGAGCAGAAGGGAGTATATAGGTTTTTGGAACTGGCTTCGGCTATTATTTGGATATTGAATTGCATAGCGTTGGGTTGGGTCAGTTGTTGTATAACATCAGCATGGCATCGCATGAGTGGAGTTTAGATATGGGCTCAGGCTCTTTTGAACGTTAGATTAATGACGACTATGTCGGAATGTAATGAAATACTACATCACCAAATGTTCCAACGCTATTACCATGTCCTTGGTGTCGAAGACGCAAAAGCTTGCTTGTTACCGAGTCAGATCTCAGACGAGACTGTGGTCTCCATAACAGCATGCAGTTCAAGTCTAAGAGAACACGGACGTCTTCGTTCCTGGGTATCAAACGCTCACGCTAGCGGCCCTCGTGATCAGGTATCTGTGTATACATACGCCTCACTGCACCTTCTTCTCTTCTATATCGACCTTTCATTTTGCATAGCCAAGATCCGAAAACTATCCTATCTTCCTGTCATGACCTGCTGTCGCTCCTGAGCAGATCATAAAACACCTTTCAAAAAGTCCATGTCTTTCGCTATTCGAAATTCCGGTCGTTTTCCAAAACAGTCTTTGCAGGCACGATGTGTTGCCAGACCGTTCTCACCAAATCAGTGTTTAAAAACACAAGGCAATCTGCGATGAGCTGCGTGGATCGAAACCCATGCGAGAATGAGTACATGGTCTTGCGTAAATCAACGCAGGTGCTTAGTATGATTGAGGACTTCGGCTTCTCAACGTATAAAAAAGGACCTGAACTTCAAATTCTATACTTCTCTTTACTATACCCAAATGGACGTTCTGAATCAAAACGAGCGTGGACTTTTCGAATGACTGGCGTCGTCTTTCTCTTCAAAAACACAAGCGCATCACCCATGCCTCTTGTTGGCGCCTTCCCATCTTCCATGTTATCCAAAAATCGTTCGCGCAGGAGTCATGGGCTTTTCTCAATCCGCAAATACAAAAGACTGCATAGACCTTCTCAATGTTTATTAAAACACCGGAAAGCGATATATTGAGCTGCGGAATACAAAAAAGACATCGACTTCTTTCGGGAGTGTGTCGCCTGCATGTATACATGAGCTACCTGCATAGCATCTTCCGCGATTTGGCTGGCGCGTATAAAAGCCTCCGGTTCATCAGCTCCACTACTTCCAAAGACACACATTTCAATCTTTGAACAACAAAATTCCGTAACTTTACATTTATGTAACGCGCTGCGATCCATTCCGAAACTGTTAAGTGACTGTTCAATGTCTCCTCGAGCCGTTTCCTACCTCACTTCTCATTTTAAAGCGAGCAGAGACGTGATCATGTGCCATTCACAAGCTGGAAAACTTCAATAGCAACGGAAAGGGCAAACTCTTGTGTGAGCTCCATCGCGATGCTGGGTGCGTGGTTCGCGTTTCTTCGCCAACACATGTACCATACCGTTCTTCTTTCGAGAAGCATGCAATGGTAACCAAAGACGGTGAATCAAAAACCATCTATGAGCTATGCAAACGCTCGTAGGCTACACATATATAAACAATGTCGTCTGCCGGATCATACTCTCGTTCTTTAGCTATACTCCGGGACTCCAGTGTTCAAAACTTCGCGATCAACGTACATGTCTGCGGGCAGTCTGGCTCCAAAAAAACATTCGATACGTTTTGCATGTGTTCGTCCCTTTCGCCGAAGTCTCTCCCGCGAGACCTATCAAAGTCCTTCTTTGCAGATTACACTTCGACATCTCGGTTCGTATGAACCTTGAGATGACTTCCAAAAACAATGAAGACATGGCTCATGTCTATGCCCGTTTGGTTTTCCTGGAACGACCAGGAGATGTTTTAGTTATGTACTATGTTGCTTGTTGCCCTGGTCCGGAAATTGAAGGCTACCGCATTCTAGCCAGGTATAAATACCTCTCTTCTACTCCTCAGTCTTCTCTTCTCTACTCGTCACTTCAAATTGGCAACTCCAAAACAAAACAACTGAGGACGACATGAGCTTGTCTGCGGTTGGGTTCTTTCAAAAAGACATCAAGTCTGCGTTATGTCGGGTGTTGGGCGCCTCTTCTCCGATTTCCAAAACTATCTGCCGCCTGCATAGAACACTGAAACATGCCACCAAAGAGTGCCTGTTCCTCCAAAAGATAACCGCAGCATGTTCATGTCTCGCTTCGTGTTTTGTGCGTCCATCGATGACGAGTAAACCGCTGCATATCTGTTCGCCAGAAAAGAGGACAAGGAGAACGCATGTCCTTGTCGCTGGCCTGCGGATCGTGGCAGACATGTTTTAGCATGGAGGTACCTACTGTCAACAGACCTCTTAGTAGGCGCATAGGCATATAAAGCATCCGTCACCACCGTGTTTCTTCACTTACAAATCTTACCTTGAAAATCTCTGTACCAAAATAAATGGGATGTCAGCTATGCATTTCGCGGAAAGAAACTTGGAAAGAACAGAGACATGGATACTGCGTTCTTGCACATGCTACCTCACAGGTGTGATGGACTGCAATCCACCAAAAGATGCTTTAATGTATATCTATCCTCCTCGTACTACCAAAAACCACGCATCCTGAGTTCATGGCCTTGTGCTTTCAAGATTACCACATTACTCTCCCAATTCAGCAGGGAGTGCTCACAAAGGATGATTGAGTGGGTCTGTCCATCACGTTTCGGAGAACCGAGAAAAGTGAGAGGCTCGAGGTGATTTCAAAACAAAGGTGTCAACGAAACATGTCGTCTGCGTTTGCATTCATTCAAAGAAAACGCCAGAAAAGCCATGTCGGCTGGTATGCGCCTCTTCTTCAACCTGCAACAAACTATCGTTATGAGAGACGAGTCAAAACACAATTACAAGACGATATATCCTTCTACTATTGATGGTTTCGTTACCAAAATCTGTTGGTCAAGAATAAAACAGCGTGGATGCATCCGACGAAACTAGATATGCGCGAAATTATGCTTGCCGCCGTTCACTGCGGATCGTATCTTAGCCCGAGGATACTCACGTCAAACGGCACTCTTGTTAGCTGCCTCGATATATAAATACTCCTGCAGTCAGCTCCCTTCTTGTCCTCAACCTGAAAATTGATTCTACCAAAAGCTGGGCCGATAACGTGTATGAGCCCGGTCGGATAAGTCACTTCATGTTGTGCCTCTCTTTTCTCCAAAAGGAAATCAATGCTAAACATGATTGTTTCTCTCGAAACCCATCAATTCTGTGCGTATATGCGGATCAGACTGCGGTTGCGAAAAAGGAGGTACACCTGGGGAATAAACTTCAATTGTATCGGCAACTCGAGAAGATGACAAAGCCAAGAACGCCGAAATGGACTTTTTTGTTTTTGAAAATGCTAGTATACAGAAAGAAGAAGACCGCCTCCAACCTGTTCATGCAGCAAACCCCAATACCATGTCATTACCCTCCCATCCCATCCCAAAGAGGAAGAAAAGGAAGCGCAAAATCAAGATCTCGGCCATGCATATCACGAACTGAAATTATTCCACCATGTACAAACCCGACTCCACCCAGAAGAGTAAACACATCTCCGTTTTGACTTCGACGCATCTCTCGGGCGTCATCTCTTGAATCTTCTTGAATCCACGTCTAACCACCACGGCCGCCGTAGGGCTGGTGCCTGAAACCACCGCCACCGCGGTGACCTCCACCACGGTAGTTCGCACCCCTGACACCAGCGTTCTTGGGTCCAGTGGGAGCGTTGATAGGAGCCTGACCACCACCAGCAGGGGGCTGGCTAGAGCCCTGGCGAGAGCGGTTGTTCCTAAAGCCGCCGCGGCCGCCACCGGGACCGGAAGGAATGTTCGGCTGAGGCGCGTCCTCGTACATGCCGTCCCAGCTCTGAGGGCCGCCCTGGGGGTTACCGAAGCCGGCGGGGCCGGAGAGTTGCTGCTGGCGGCGAGCCTGTTGTTGTTCGTATTTCTGCTGTTCGAAAGCGAGTTGATCTTGAGCGGTGTAAGCTGGGCGTGCACCGGCACTCTGGCCACCTTGAGGATTCATCATACCCGGACCACCTTGACCTCCTGGGCCTCCTCCACCTTGCATCTGTGCCATTTGCATCTGTTGCATTTGCTGCATCTGCATCGGGTTCATACCACCTGGGCCACCCATCATTTGAGGGTTCGGGGAGCCGTTACCGCGGTTCATACCTTGGTTCATCATCTGCTGTTGCATCTGCTGCATTTGCATCGGGTTCATGCCGCCCATGGCAGCCATGGGGTTGCCGGGCATACCACCACCGGCTTGCTGCTGAGCGAGAGTTTGCTGCATGGACTGGAAGTACTGTTGCATTCGTTGCCAGTACTGAGCCATCATGGCAGGAGACATGGCGCTGTTGCCGCCTTGACCTTGCATGTTTCCGCCGGCGTTGTCGTAGTTGTTGCCGCCACCTTGGTTACCGTTGCCGCCGTCGTTGAACTTGTTGAACTTGTTATTGCGACCGAACTTCTTGTTGCCATCGCCGCCATCGTCGTCGCGCATGTTGCCACGGGGCTGAGCGCGCTTGACCTCAATCTGCTTGCCGAGAATCTGGAGAGGTCCGCGTAGGGTGGCATCTACGGCTGCGTCGCCGTCGAAGGTAACGAAACCGAAACCACGGGGTCGACCGGTCTCCTTGTCCATCATGAGTGTGGCATCGACAACGCGACCGAATTGCTTGAAGAAGTTGGTGAAGTCTTCCTCGGTTGCTTCTTGGCTCACACCGCCGACGAAAATCTTGCTGGTGCGTTCCTGCTCCTCTCTTGGGATAGCACGCTTGGGGTCAATCTGCATGGTATTAGCTGGCAGCTCGCCGTTGATGGGAGTAGACATACGATTTTACCATCGAGGTAATGCTCCTTGACCATGACGATGTTCACACACTTGGGGTCCTTGAATGTAAGGAAGCCGAATCCTCTCGAGCGTCCGGTAGCAGCATCGCGCATTACGGTGCATTCGCTGACTTCGCCAAATTGTGAGAAGTAACCCTTGAGTGAATCTGTTGTGGGGATTTAGTAAGTCCCTACGTTTGAGCGTATAGTTGTGTGATAAGACTGGGGTATGTCTTGCTCTACTAATGTGTCATCACGTACCTTCTGTTGTCTCCCAGTTCAGACCGCCAATGAACATTTTACTATGGTTGAAGTTAGCAAGATGTTGCTCCATATCATCAACTTCAGGAAGAGCAGGCGAGATTGATGAGGCGCATCATAGAGCATCCGTAAGTATATAGTTGGGTGGCCTTTGACGTGAAGGCTGGCGTTGGCCGTCATCATGATGCCGTCGAAACCATATTGGTAAGACTAAAGATGCAGAAAGTCGCAAGTACAGCATCTTCGCATACAGTCCACCGTAACTCCAGTTCTCATCCTTGGCGAGATATAGCAGGACACAATCTCAGTAGATGAGTGATTGGTGTAGTAGGCTGGCGTCGTAGTCTTTGTCGAGTTGATCGCACTGCACCGCTGATTGTTGTTCGCCAGCGGGGCTATCGAAAGTGATTTCGCAAGTTGCAGTGTCGAAAAGTTCGTGTTCCATAGCTTGTCGTGGTTGATTGATGACCGACGGGAACATGTATGCTGGTATCGTGAGGTTCCCTTGCCGCTCGCGAGGAAGACCGCAGCCGCTGACGAATGGCTAAGCGACACCAACTCCTGCGCCGCATCCGACCCTGGACGTGTCGACTTCGTGGCGTGCACCAATCATATCGACCAAGAACGCACTCCACGTACTCATGTCCAAGTTTCGAGGTGCAAAAGTAGCCCTTGCAAAGGCACAGTTTGATTCGGATGAAACGTCTGTGTTCTGCTATGAATTCGAGTGTGGAAGTCTCAGACTATCTCACGACTCGGTAGCTATCCTCTGCTTGCGTTGCTGGTACGCGCTATCAAGTACCTAGGTATATATCGACATGAGGCGCTGCCAAAGTTCGGGCAAGCCGCGATAGTCCCTGCGTGAGGCGCGTTGATGGTTGCTCTGAGTATCGCTGAGCGGTTGACTTGTGTCTTCCAGCTTCTTCTAACAACCAACACTGGTGGCCCATTCCGCCATGCATCGAACGCCTCGCCAATGGGCGATATGGACCACAATCTTTCGCAAGGTGTCTAGCTCCTCGACCTTCATCCCAGACTCTGCGCCAATCATGACCCCAGGTGCTTTTGAAGGTAAGACACACACCGTGTCCAAAGCTTGTTCCTTGATTGTACATGCAAAGTGTCATACGAGAGCTGGTATCGCTCATGGTGCCTGATGCTCTAGCACAATGTCTTATGCGGTGGTTGATGGCTTTGGTCCTGGTAACAATATGTCCTCGGCGGATGCCCTGACACGGAAGATATATGCTCTTTTACCTTGTGATGCGCCTCTGATAGATGGGGATCATGTTAGACATTGCACGACTTACCCGTCTTCTTTCACGTTGATTGGCCCATAGTTGTCATCATCCATGGGCGCATTGTCGTACGACTGCTCGCCGCCAGCATTGTAACCGGATTGGTCCATGTGCGAGTCGCCGTCTGCCGCGCCTTGGGCTGGCCAAGAGGGCGCGCTATCTTGACCGTTGTTTTGTGCGGTATCCTGAGGAGGCGCGCTTACGGGCTCGGCTGGAGTAGGCTCAGGTTCGGTCTTGGGGGCTGGTGCGGGTGCGGCAGCCGCGGGCTTCTGTGCGGGCTCATCATCGTAGCTGGTGGACCGTTAGTAAGTGTCGCATTACACGCGCGAAGCTACGTCGCGCTGGAGATACTGACAGATCGTCGAAGATGTCATCCTCGTAGTTCTCGTCGGCCATGGTGTAGTCTTGAAGAAGAGCTTCCTAAAAGGTATGTCGGGAACGAGGAAGGAGCAAGCGCGCGAAAGTAGAGTCGCGATTAGTGGGGCGGGACTGTCGGGTTATTTAGAAGGAAGGGAGGTGATAGAAGGAAGAGTCTGTCGCCGGAGTGAGGAGATGAGAGCAGAGCAATGGGCAGGCGCGCTAGCATCGGGCTTGGCGTGGCAGGCGCGACGGATACATGCACGAGCCCTACGACATACCCAGTACAGCCATGTTGTATAGAATAGCTGTACTATTGATGGTGCGGTGATTCAAGAACAGGCTGTTATCTTGGGGATATCCAGAGTTCTTCATTACGGCACAAATCCTACAGGCTCCTTCGTACTTTCCGGGTCGAGCGATTCGGAGCTCAGGTTCGCAGCGGGGCCGCCTCGAGGCACGGAACAAGCATTCACATATTCCAGCATGGCGTCCAAAAAACAGCAGCAGGTTTGTCCACTCAGTCGTACGCGCAATCTGTGTGTTTGCTAACAAGTTGCCAGGAAATGGTCCAGGTCGGTGTGTGCCCATCCAAGTCACAGAGAGCGTCATAGTATCCGGGGTAGCTAACATATCGCTTCCCTGCATACAGACCGATCCTCGTACGTTGCACACTGCAGTCGCATACAGGTTTTGATTGCTGATACCCCATGCGCAGCTCTGGCTCTCCATTCTGGCGAACGGCGTCCAATTCCGCATCCTCGCCGCCGCCGAACAAGAAGGTCATCGGCGCATCCTATTCCCATGCCGACATACTCAACTTCAGCTCTTTGTACGTTGCTTTGTATGCTACTAATGGCCTGTAGCTGATAGTCACAGGAGCGTTTCCGGTTCCAACTCACGACCTCGAACCCCGCCATCGGCAACTCACAGTCGCGAGTCAAGCGCTGCACCGAGCCGGTCTAGCAAGACCATATCGCCCCGTCCTGCGCGAGCCACGTACAGCTACTTCCTCAATGACACCCACCAAGACTGGAACGAGGGGGACGAAGACGATGCCGACAACATGTTTGAAGATGACGAAGACGAGTTTGGGCTGCCGAGCATCGCAAACATGCGGAGGAAGGGCCGGCGGAAACAGCCATCCAAGACGAAGGAAGCCGCCGGGCACGTTAGTAGGGAGAGTCTGGGCTCAACAGCGTGGCGTGGTATAGACAGTGGTGATATTGCAGAGGAGCGAGGCATACCCAACTACCCGACCGCGAAGAAGATTGAAGGGAAGATCTTACGGCCGCAGTACCAGGAAATTCTTCGAGATCCCGCAAACTCTCTGCATCTCATTTCGCATCCTAGTCTACCCCCAAACGCCTCAGCGAAGCAGGTCGAAGAGCACTCCGCGCGCACAACAAGGATCAACAAGTTCAAGAGGATACTGCAGGCGAGCACCATATCGCTATCAGATCTTCGCGACTCAGCCTGGTCAGGAGTCCCGTCTGAAGTACGCGCAATGACATGGCAGATCTTGTTGGGTTACCTGCCAACTAGCAGCGAGCGGAGGGTCGCGACACTCGAGCGCAAACGGAAAGAGTATCTGGAGGGAGTGCGACAGGCCTTTGAACGCGGTACATCTGGTAGTGCTAGCGCTGTAGCATCTGGAATGGCAGGTGGCGCTGGCTATCCTTCAACAAATCGTGGACGAGGACGTGGCTTGGACGAAGCTATATGGCATCAGATCAGCATTGACGTGCCTCGGACGAACCCCCATCTCGAGCTCTACAGCTACGAAGCGACGCAACGGTCTCTCGAGCGAATACTATACGTGTGGGCGATACGGCACCCTGCGTCAGGATATGTCCAGGGCATCAATGATCTGGTGACCCCTTTTTGGCAGGTCTTCTTAGGCGCCTATATATCGGATCCGGATATTGAATTTGGCATGGATCCTGGACAGTTACCAAAGCAAGTCTTGGACGCTGTTGAGGCGGACTCCTTTTGGTGCCTTACCAAACTCCTTGATGGGATTCAAGACAACTACATTGCGCATCAACCAGGGATCCAAAGACAAGTGGCTAGTCTTAGAGATCTCACAACGCGCATCGATGATCAACTGGCGAAGCATCTCCAAAATGAGGGTGTAGAGTTTATACAGTTCAGCTTCCGATGGATGAACTGTCTCCTGATGCGCGAGATATCTGTAAAGAATACGATACGGATGTGGGATACATACCTGGTAAGCTACGTAGCCTTACTCTTAAGTGCATCACTAACATTGTTTAGGCCGAAGAGGATGGGTTTTCGTCATTCCACCTCTACGTATGCGCTGCGTTCCTCGTAAAGTGGTCCGATCAGCTACGAAAGATGGACTTTCAAGAGGTCATGATGTTTCTGCAATCATTGCCAACGCGTCAGTGGACCGAAAAGGACATTGAACTATTGTTAAGTGAAGCCTTCATTTGGCAAAGCCTATTCAAAGGCAGTGGCGCGCATTTGAAGAACACAGGCTCAAGAGGAAGTGGCGTAGGGATGGGACCCGACTTCTGAATCAATTGCTGCAGCACAGTAGGTATTGCAATACCAAAGCACGTACGCAGCGCCTACACGAATTGTCGTCTAACGAGGTGATTCAAGGAGAGTGAACTCCTGACTAAAGACAGCAATCAAGCTCGCGCTTCAACGTATTGGCAAGAATGCTCTTTCCGTTGTCCGAGTCGCGGTCGTCACTTCCACCTCGTCAGTTACCGAGCGGAAGTTACCCCGCCCTTTACCCCACCATACGTCACATAGCTTCAGCAGTGTATCCAGATGGTGTTCAAAAGACCGACAAGTATTTCTACATCGTGGTTTCTCTAGAGTGAACTCATCAGCAAGCCCTCGAAGTTGTCACTTTCTGGACCGTTCCATATATACTTGACACTGCTATGGCACCATCGCGTCCTCCATTCCAGGATCTCCCACTCGACAAAAATGGTCCACCTGGAAACGCATGGGGTCTTTACGGCACAAACGACGAGCTCGGTGCTCTAAACATGATTACACCATCAGCCGTCAAAGCAGCGGCCCAGGAGATACAAACCGGTGACCGGGTCTCACTTGACTGGTATCTCAACCTGCCATCCCATCCATCCTTTAACCGCCCATCTTTCTCCTGGAAGATGAAGAACAAAGAACATCCAGATGGCGCCAAGAGAACCGTCAACGACGACCATCTGGATTTCAACACACAGGGAAGTAGCCAGTGGGACGGCTTCCGCCACTACGGTTACCAGAGTGCAAAGAAGTACTACGGTGGGCGCTCACAGCAAGATCTCGAGTCCTCGGAAGTAATCGGCATTGATCGTGTTGCCAACTCTGGCGGTATCACAGCTCGGGGTATCATTTTAGATTATCCGCGGTATCTGGAAAAGAAAGGCAAGAAAGAAGTGTACGCGCTCGAAGCCAACAGCATCACGGCCGAGGAACTAAAAGACATGGTGCAAGAAACAGGTATAAAGACGCGAGAAGGCGATCTGCTACTCTTACGCACAGGATTCACGCGTGATTACGCCAAGCTAGGCGAGGAAGAGAGACGAGCGATAAAGGATAAGCCACCGACGTTCCTGGGCGTACAGTCGGACAAGAACACGCTACAATGGATTTGGGAAAACGGGTTCGTCGCTGTTGGTAAGCATTCGCTCATCTTACCTCATCTCATCTTCTCATGATCCAACGTCTCCTTGGCTCTTCTCAAACTCCTCCAACCACAACTCAAAGTACACTCTCTAACAATTCCGCAGCATCCGACGCGCCGTCATTCGAGATGTCTCCACTCGTAGGCCCACACAGCGCCCCAGGTGGTATCAACGCGGGTGAAACCTGGGAAACTGAGATGCAGGGCGGTGGCTTAGTACATCAATGGCTGTTGGGTGGATGGGGTGTTATGATAGGTGAGATGTGGGATTTGGAGCGGTTGTGTGAGAAGAGTAAAGAGTTGGGTCGGAGTACCTGCTTTGTTAGTAGTGTACCGTTGAAGGTAACGTCTTGCCAAGTTGCTGATACTGAGACATGAGCTGATTGTCGCATAGGTACCAGGTGGTGTTGCGAGTCCGCCGAATGCCGTTGCTATCTTTTAGCTGGGAGGCGCTTCTCGTGGCACTTGGCATCGGGACGAGGTGACATCAAGATGAGAAGATGGAAATGCGCTGATATGGCGTTGTAGTATCAGTCTCGGGTGATAGAGTGATACGAGATACGAAATGCCAAGTCGGTGCTTACGCTCATCTCCTCTCCGCGCTCGGAGTTCTCTCCAGTGGCCAGCACACGAAACTGTGGGAGATGCGCCATCGCGAACCTCGACGGGCCGAACTCTGCCGTACAAACAATCAACGCAGACAACTTCGCGATACTCCCACAGATTGTCCACGTCTGCTTCTATGACACTTCCTCCACAAACAACCACTCATTCCCTCATACCTCCACTCCAGACACATCTATTTTTACCCCAGCAAGCCCTACGCATGCAAACCATAAAATGCGGGGAACCCATGTCCCCGAAACCGGGTAAGCAGTACATTGCGCCAAGGCTGTTTGTACTTCATTTCCTCTAGCCAGCCAACATCGTCTCGATGGCTTGGAAAAGCCTATCGCTTTGACCACCACCGCCATCGCAGCCGTTTCACCCGCTTCCCTCGGCGTCATCATGCTCATTTGCTGTTCTTGGTAGATCAGCCCCGTCAATTTGCTTAGCACGTGGAGGGAGGATTTGTGGCGTTTGTACTCGCGCCAAATGTATAGATTTGGTATGTGTGGGATTGAGTTCGCATGTAAGCCGTAGTAGTGAAGCTGTCTGTCGGCGTATATGCGACGGCGACGGCTGAGGATCTTCGTGGACCGTGTTCCCCGGTGAAGCTTTTGGTGGGTGTTTGAGTGGGTTACGGTGTATATATATTACTTGTATACGCCCGTGTTCATCCAGATCCTTCACAGCAATTACACATCCTCTCCACCTCTCGTACAGATCATCAAGCCTCCAATATCATCACCAAAAATGAAGTCTTTCGTCCTTATCGCCGTTCTTGCCGCTTTCGTTGCGGCATCTCCTGTCGTACCTGCTCAGATATGCACAAAGATCTGTCTCTTTGAAGAGCCAGACTGCCCAGGTGGGGTATGTTATCAACTTGCCACATTTGATATGAGTATTGTGCTAATATGGAACAGGTGGCTGTCAAGTCTGGTGTAAGTATCCTGCTACATATGTGCTCCTTCATTGGCGAGGCTAGTGTGCGAGCTAACATGACGTAGGAATGCTGGTCCTGCTGCACCAGGGAATAGAGTGCGCTTTTGACTCAGATTTGGGCCTGGCCTTAGCTCAGGCGGATTATTGGGCTGGTTTTGCTGCACTGCTTAGAGCATGTTTGGATGGAGATTCGTGGGATTTGGACTATCATTTGATGAAATTCTGGAACGCATGGAAGGCGGGATAGATGTGATGTCACACGACGAACATCGTCTTCCAACCAATACTATACCTGAACCTTCGCATGCATGACCTTTGGTTTCCAACTGCTGCCTTCTTGCACCTTGAGTCGTTATATTCCCGATGTTCATACGCTGATTGTAAATGGTCACACTGTCGCTGTTCCCGCCTACCCACTCTCTACACTGCTATGCCATGCGTCTCAAAATGCGACCTTTCTCTGAGCTCTTACTGACCCAGTGGTAGCTACGTCTTGTCTTACTGGCCAAGCTTCCGCTGAGTACATCCTTTCGTTTGTTGGTCGCATTTTCCGTTTTCGAGTTAGATTCGTAGCGATGTTTGCACGTCAGCCATAAGCTGAGAAGTCGCACAAACAGGTGTGTTCTTGCGAGTCTAGAGCGTGCCTTCTCATGCCACCCTCTTTCGAGTAATCCCGTTTGTTGTGGCGTTAGGCGCCTTTTTGGTAGCGAGTATGTATATATCCTTACATGCGTCCCCTTGATTTCGGTCCTCATCTTCCATACTCACTCATACTACATACCTGACCATCATCGCCAACATGAAGACCTTTGTCGCCATCACTCTGCTCGCCGCCCTTGCAGCAGCAAAGCCGCAACACTACACCCGTCCTACGCAACCGCCGCCATCAGCACGTGCTGCTCTTGCTACCCCACCACCCAGGGTTTGCGATCGTAGATGCGCTGCTGAGCCGCCTACCAACTGTGGTGAGGGATGGGTATGTGGATCTGATTCTGATATAGGAGTGACTGTGTGCTAATTCCCAGCAGGAACCTGCACAGCTTGGTGTAAGTACCTATCGACTCCCTTCCCAGGTGGTCTAAAGAGATGTTCGAGAGCATTGAGCTGACATACGTAGGAATGCTGGGCTTGCTGCCGTATTTAGACCTGATTATGGGTCCCGGGCGTCGCTGGCAATCTGAAAACGACTTCGGACGTCGATGAGGCGCTGATAAGGAGAACGGGGGTGCTGAAGGTATTTGAGGAAGGCGTACGACTTGATGAAGACGGCGGCGATCTTTGGGCACATGTCAAGGCGTTGTCTAGGTAGCGTAGTCCAAAGTGATAAGGCTTCTTTTTTCCGCCTAGCCGTTACCAGTTCTGCGTTCTTTCCTATCTGTGGACGCCTACAACTTCATGTGAGAATCTCAACTACCTACCCAGGTACTTCGCAGGAAAATAAGTGACACATTGTACGAACAGATGCGAGACATGTACAAACCTCGTACGTTACCCAGCCGTGGATGTAGCAAGAAGAGCCGTACCACAACAAAAGTCCTGCTTGATAGAACTCATGTCGTCAACGACAACACCACTCCGCACTCCCACTCCAACATACCAACCCTGGAAGTACCTAGGTATACGGCCCGATTACCACGTCATTTAACTCCGCCGCGCACATCGTCCTAACCCCGAAACACAACCACGGGACGCACCAAACACGGTGCTTGGAGGGGACTACGACGTATCCAATGTATATCGTGATAGCGCAACTTTAATTCAGCGTTTGTGGCCTCTCATAGGCTTACAGACTGGGTGGCTGGTATAATAGTTATGCCGTGGTGAAGCCGAGTCTTGAACAACGGGCCGTTCGAAGTACCAGTTGAACGGGATGGAGGGAACTTGCTTTCAAGATGGAACTGAGTATATATACGTCTTTTGCCCTCTCACGATTACTGAACACCCACAAACCATCACGCGCCTGCCCCATCAAAGAATAACGATTAATTGACTTGACCCTTACAACAACCACCACGCCCTTCCAAAATGGGCCAGCGATTCAGCCAGTTCTTCCCACCCGCCCCCTCCTTCACCGAGACCGACCTCCCCAATCTCAGCGGAAAAGTCTACATCGTAACTGGCGCCTCTGCAGGAATAGGAAAAGAGCTCTCGCGCCTCCTCTACACCCACCACGCCACCGTCTACATCGCCGCGCGGTCCGCCGAAAAAGCGCACGCAGCGATATCCTATATCAAAGAAGCATGTCCAGACTCCAAGGGCACACTACACTACCTGCATCTCGACCTCGACGACCTCTCCGGCATCAAAGCGTCAGCCGACTCATTCCTAGCAAAGGAATCACGCCTGGATGTCCTCTTCAACAACGCAGGCGTCATGGTCCCCCCGGTTGGAAGCACAACGAAACAAGGTTACGAGCTGCAACTCGGCACGAATTGCGTCGCGCCCTTCCTCTTCACCAAGCTCCTCACGCCAGTCTTGCTGGAAACCGCGAAGAAAGAAGCAAAAGGTAGCGTTCGGGTGATTTGGGTGAGTTCAATTGCGTCGCAGATGAGCGCGCCGTCTGGAGGGGTGGATATGAGTAATCTGGAGTATACCAAGAATGTGAATAATTGGACAAAGTATGGGATGAGTAAAGGTGGGAATGTGTTTCACGCCTTGGAGTTTCAGAGGAAGTATGGGGGCGAGGGGGTTGTTAGTGTGGTATGTTCCATCAAATTTTCTTGTTCCTCCCCCCCTTTCTTTGCGCTCCTCTTTGAGGATCTCTGCGTCGATCGACTAACAGAAACTACTGCAGGCGCTCAACCCGGGGAACCTTAAAACAGAGCTCGGACGCAACATGAATGCTGTGCATCATTTCTTCGCCAATTTCATGTTGTATCCGACTGTTAATGGCGCGTATACGGAACTGTTTGCTGGCCTCGCACCTGAGGCTGCGAAGCTCAAGACGGGCGAGTGGGTTATGCCGTTTGGAAGGGTTGGGATGCTGAGGAAGGACTATTGGTCCGAGACTGGGAAGAAGACGGCGAGCGCGTTTTGGGAGTGGAGTGAGAAGCAGGTGGAGCAGTATGCTTGAGGGTATGTGATGTGTTTAAACGACGTTGCTTTCTGTATTCATCAGTTCTGTGGCCTTCTGTGCATCATCTGCCTCAAAATACGCTCATAACGTTTACCAATTTCACTCTGCAAAGACCAAATCTTTGGTAGATGTGACACATTTCGTATATACATTCTATCATTCATTCATTTGTCAGAATAAGACATCCATTATCAGGCCTTCTTCGCATCCTTAGGAGCCATAGCCAGAAGCGTGTCCGGATCCCGGATACCAGCCAACTGACCCTGCTGCGCACGCTTCACGGTAAGCGCAGCAATCAGAGCAGCACCTACACCAGAGCCGTCCTCAGCGGGAAGCACCTCGACAGGGTCGTTCTTGCCCTTGCCGTACTTGGCGGGCCAGTCCATGATCTCCTTGAGCGCCTGGGCTTGGCGGATCTTGAAGTGGGGGTACTTTGTGAAGACGGAGCCATCGGCACCGACGTGCACTTCATCCCACTTCTTGTGCTTGCAAATGGCACCTACACCGCACGCGGTGAGACGAGCAGCACGTGTGCCAATGAGTTCGGCAAGACGGCGGATGAGCTCGAGTTCGGGCTTCGTGCAGGTGATGCCGAGCTTCTCTTGGAAGAGATCCCCTGTGTCTTGCAAGTTCTCGAAGCGGTCCTCCTCGATCTGAGACAGGAATCCGGCGTCGAGAGAGTAAGGCTTGTCGAGCTTGCTGGCGTTCTGACCCTCAAACATGTGGCATTCGCTACCCTTGTGCAGATCCTGGAGGACGAGACGGAAGATCTCGCCGAGGTAGAGACCGGCGACCATCTTCTCGAAAGATTGCTGACCGGGTCGTGGTGATTCCTTGTCAACGATGACATCGTACTTTGTTCTTGGGAGGATCTGGTGTTCGTTGTCGAATGCGCCCCATTCGCAGTTGATGGCCATTGGCAGGCTGGGGTCGAGCTTCATATGCTTCAACTTGGGGATGGAGCCGCAATCCTCCATGTAGGCGGCGTTGCAGCCGGTGCCGAAGATGCAACCGATCTTGATCTTGGTGTTGGTATACGCGGAGGCAATCATGGTACCGGTCGTGTCGTTGACCAGAGCCGCAAGCTTGATGGGTACACCGCGCTCCTCAAGAGCCGCCTTGAAGCCTGGAACAACATCCACGCCCTCCATGCCGGCGACATCGAAGCCCTTTGTCCATCGCTGAAGGACTCCGTGGTCGATGGCGTCTTGCGAGACGGGGTATGAGAAGGTGAAGCCGAGAGGCAGGTGGTTGAGCTGCTCGCCCTCGTGGTGGTATTCGATGAACTGCTGGAGACAGTCGGCAACGTAGCCCCAAAGCTCTTCGGCGGTTCCCGTCTTGAGCTCCTCGGGCATGCGGTACTTGGATTGTATGATCTCGAACTCGCCCTTCTCCTCTGTCAGGGTGACCTCGCAGACACGCAGGTTGGTGCCACCCATGTCGAGCGCGAGGTAGCTGCCGGTCTCGTTACCGTCGGGGAAGGCCATGCACCAGGTGGGAATCATGGGCTATCACAGTCAGCTCTATCCTGAAGAGCGCAAAGCAAATTGCGACTCACAATGCTTCCGCCCTCCTCCGACAAGCCCTTCTCAAGCTCCTTGACGAAGTGGTTCGAGATGGCCTTGAGCTTGTCTGTGTTCACCACGAACATCTCCTCGAGCCTGTCGATCTGCTCCTTCAGATCCTTGGGCATGTCCGCCATGGAGCCTAGCACGGTGTTATCCCATCTGTCCTTGTATACGATAGCGAGGTTGAGGCATACCCCTGCGGGAGGGCGGTTTCCTTGCGCCGAGTAGCACCATGATTGCGGTTGTGGGGGTGGTTTAGGTAGATTTGGTGTTATCGCGAGAGAGGCGGTGGTGTCGCTGAAATCGAGGGTTCAGGACGACAGGTGGGGACCTTGACGTAGGGTGTTAGTCTCTGTATGACGAAGAGGCTAGAACACTAGAAAACAGCTCAATGGCCATGCCCAGCGGCCAATCCCACTTTTGTACACGATATTTGCTTCTCCACCCGCCCAGGTTGCTTTTGGACGTACGTCGGGGGTGCGGCGGCTTACCAAGATAGTGTAGTAACGGACCCCCGCTGTTGAGTCTGCCAATGGCTCGCGGGCTTGTTCAGTAAGCGGTGTAGTCGTCAGGAAAAGCGTCGGATGATATGGGGAGACGATGCGCAATCGGGGGGCACGAGCGTGAAAACGGTAGCTGTTGAGCTGGCCCCCGCCATCCCGCGCGCCGGAGCAGGAGACGGCTCCGATGACTTTTGGTGCCATGACGCGCCTCTAACGTGGGCTGCACGAGGCTTGGTGGGCTGAAGCTCCTGGGACCCCTCGCTTGCGCTAGCCCCATTCGTCTCCACCACGAGAACTGCCCACGCAGCTCCGATTACTCAGCACGACACATCTCAGATGCAAACACATTCAAACTGAAGCGTCTCTTCATTAGGCATTACACACTACATATGTACAAGAATTGAAACGCACGTCTCTGACATCATCTACGATGCCGTGCAAGCCGCCGCACCCTTCGACGTCTTCGTCACCAGACTGACAACCGTCACAGTACTCTTCGCAACTACCGTCTTGGTTTTGGGGGCCCCAGTAACCGTCTCCGTCTTTACTCCGCCACCTAGAGTCACCGTCTCAAACTTGGTGCTCGTAGAGACAGGCAGCGTAATCGTTGTCTTGGAAGTCACGTCGCTCGACTGGGTTACGACGATGGTTTCCTGTGCTGCGAGGATAGTCGAAGTCTTTGAAGCGGTCTTGAGAGAGCTGACTGTGACCGCTGGCTCAGTGACTGTTGAAAGGACAGTCTTGGTGACGAGGTCGGTGGAGTAGACTGTGTTGGTGGAGGCCTTCAGCGTGGTGGTCTTGCCAATCTTCTCCGTTGAAATGATTGTCGTGTAGTAGGTAGAGCCTGCCTGAGCCATCGTCAATGTCTTCACCACGGATGTGACTGTGACTGTGCTGGTGCTGGCCTTCAGGGAAGTAGTCTTGGTAGCGATGGACAACTCTGTGACAAAGGCGGTCGAGCCAGCTTGAGTTGCGGTAGCTGTGGCTACGTAGCTGCTCACGGTAGTGCTGACGGTGACCGTGGTAGTGCTAGCCACAGCGCGAGGAAGGACGGCACCTCGGCGGACCAGCTTCTCCGCGCTGCGAGTGGGAATGCAAGAGAGCGTGGTAGTGGACTTCTTGGTAGTTGTCTTGATGGACGTGCTACTGATCGTGACTGAGTCTTTGGGTTGCACGGTAGTCGTCTTGGTGGTGGTCGGCTCGATCGAGATGGTAGTCTTGACTATTGTGGAAGCTGCCTTCTGAGTCTTCGAGCTCGTGATGAAGACTGTGGATCCCTCGCTGACGGTGATTGATGTTGGCTTGGGCGAAGAGGTGGACAGAACGGTAACAGTCGTGGTGCCCTTGACCGTCGAAGTCGTAGCGCCCTTGGTTGTCACTCCAGCTTCGGTCACGGTACCCTTGACGACGCTGGTCTTGGTAACAGGTTCCGGGGTAACAGTAAGGCCAACATCCTCAGTTACTACCGAAGTGGCAGTGGAGGTTACGTCAGGAGAAACGATCGAGGTGGTGGCAGTGACCTTTAATGTGCTGGTCTTGATGACGTCGATGGCACTGATCGAGAGCGTCTCTGTGCTTTTCACCACAGTAGTCGAAGTGACTTCAGGGGCGGTGACAAAGGTGCTCGCAGTAAGTGGGGCGATCACGGTAGTCGTGGTGTATGCTGTGACCAACGGTAGACTACTCGAAGAGGTGAGACTCATAGTAGATACCGAAACACTGGCAGACATTGTTGACGATGATATGAGGGACGAGGATGCAGTGCTGCAAACCTGGGGCGAGCCCATACCAATTGCGAAAGGCTGGGTATCGACGAATCGGAAATCTATGAACGCAGTCGTGGCGAAGAAAGAAGCAAGCTGGAACTGAGCAACATCGTTGTCCGAAAGCTGCTGGGAGAACGCAGCGCGCTTGCAGATATCAGAACCTGGGCCAGTGTTATGGTACTCTCCGTATGTGACACCATCAGTCTGCGGGTTGGTCTTTGACCACTGCGACCATCCAGCCGGGCTGATCATGGCATCGAGGTAGCAGCCAACATAAGCGACACGCGAGAAGCTATTCCATGGACGACCAAGGCTGACGCTGCTAAAATTCCCAGATCCGGGTGCAGGCACGATCCTTGACTGATCGAACACGAAGCCCGCAGCAGTTGTGTTGGTCGTACGCTTGTGAGCTGTGATGCTGATGCCGTCTTCGTTGGAGGCGATCGTCGAATCCAGGAAGTAGGCAGATCCACTACCATATATAAAGTCCACATTACCCTCAATGTAGGTCTTGAAGGTGAATAGATTGCCAGACACACTGAGAGTATCCTGGTTACCATAGATCTGGCATCCGTACAGCGCAGCGAACTTGCTGCTTTGAACAGCGAAGCCAAGCGAAGCAATGTTCTGCTGCGTGCCGTTGTTGTTTCGGAAGTTGATGTTGAAACCATGGAAGTAGTTGCCCTTTGCGTAGACAGTCGCTCCATCAGTGTTGCTACCAGAGGTGCCTTGAGTATCCACACCGCGGCTGAATTGAATGGTAACTTGGTTCTTGGAGTAATCGTCGGTTGAATCGGAGTATCCACGGAAGATGGTGTGACCGGACTTGGCGATAATGAGCTGCTCCTCGTAGGTACCAGGGTAGATGAATATTGTGGCATTCGTCTTGCTCGTAGTTGGCGCAGCGTTTAGAGCCGCTTGAATAGTATCGTATGTCACGACACCAGCAATCGGTGTCTTGGAGACAATGAGAGCACCGGCCGGTGGGGTCGTGCCGTTGAAAGTCGAGTTGCCGCCGACGACGATGGGTCCAGGGGGGATGACAACGGGCGCGGAAGGTTGTGGTGTAACAATGGAGTTGAAGTAGGTCATGTCAATCCATTCTGTTGAGTCCATAACAGAAGTCAAAGAGTAGGTGTCAGAAGTGAGCAGCGTAGCATATCCGAATGACTGACGGGCAGCAGCGTTTTGCTCCCAGTTCGAAGGACCCGAGTTGTTGAACTCGGCGAAGGTGATGTGATCGGTACGCGGGTCAGTTGCGGACCATATTTTCCACGCCGCAGGAATAATCGTAGCGTCGAGATACGAGTTCTTCACGACAACAAGCGCGTACTGGGAGTAGGGCCGACCGAGGTAAACTTTTCCGGTAAGATCATCGACTGCATTGGGAGCCGCAGTGAACAGGCACTGATCGAAAATGTAGCCACCAATTTCGGTGCTCGACTTCCTGCTATGCGCCGTGATGGCCGATGACTTGCGCTTGGCACCGATCGTACATCCCTTGAAGTATGCTTTGGAGTAGCCCCAAATGAAGTCGATGGCACCTCCAATGTAGCACGACTCATAGTATTGATAACCAGCGGTAGCTCCGTTCAGAAGGGTATCTTGCCAGCCGTCGAACGAACAAGCATAGAAGGCGATGTCATTGCCGTATATTGAGCCCGCGAGAGTCACGTAGTTAGGCTCGGCACCATCGAGGTTATCAGTGTTGATCATGTTGACGTTGTACATGCTAATCCTGCTTGATGCGGTAGAAAAGACCGATGTTTCCGCGTTTGAGTGTCCGACGGGTAATGGGGAGACGGATAAACCACGAGCGAAGGAGACGGTGACCTGATTATCCTTGTAGGCCTGACCTGGATTACCAGCGGTGTACCCGATGATCCTTACGGCACCAGGACGGTTGACTGATGGGATCTGCTCGTTGTAGGTACCCGGGTAGATGAAGATGCTTTGGTTGGTCTTATCTTGCGGGAGCGAAGCGAGTGCGGCAGTGATGTTGGTGTACGCAGCGCCGTTGCTACCATCCTTGGAAACGACCACAGCGCCTAGGGGCGGCACAGTACCGCTGTCAGGGTGGGCATTGACAGTTGCAGTGGTAGTCGGTCCAGTCACGGTACCGTTAGTAGAAGGGGACGGAGATGGTGATGGCGAGGTGGTCGTGGGGCCTGTAAGGCTGTACGAAGGAATCGCATTGTACGCATCCATGTCCAACCATGCCGTGCTGCCGATCCATGCAGCAAGCGTGTACTTCTCAGCCTGGGACGCTGTCAACTTTGTGGCAAAGTCGGCCCGCTTGGCTGTGTCCGTCCAGCTGCCAGGGCCCGTGTTGTTGTATTCGCCGAATGTGACTCCTGATGTCTGAGGGTTGTTTGTCTGCCATACGGTCCAACCAGCGCTAGAGATATGCTTGTCGATGTACGAGTTCGTGTAGATAGCGATAGAGAATTGGCTGTAAGGCCTGCCAAGGTAGGTCGTACCGAAGGTGTTGCCGTAGGTAGCACTGTATGTGATGACTGAAGAATCGAACACATATCCACCGGGGGCGTCTGCGGTGGCCCTGTATTGTGCTGAGATGAAAGCGCCAGGCGTGTTGCTGACGATCATGCACTGATGGAAGTATGCGGTGGAGAAACCCCAAATGAAGTCAACACTACCTTCAACATAGCAGTTGCTGAACACTTGTGTACCCTTGTTAGCAAGTAGGGTGTCCTGGAAACCAACAAAGGAACATCCATAGGCAGCAATGTTCGCTCCGTAGAAGTCGGCAGCCAGTGCTGCGGTGTTGGAAGTCTGAGGGTAGGTGTTGACAAAGTCGATGTTGTACAAAGCCATTCCCGAATCGCCGCTGGGCTTGGAGTATACTACAGGTGTTTGCTCGTTCTTGCCAACACTGGTAAGCTCGCCCCTGGAGAATTCAATGCGGACCTTGTTCATAGTGTAGTCATTGGTGAAGTCGGTGAAG